TTAGATGTTCTGAAGCGTTGGTAAGCCATCCACAAAGTAGCGAATTTAACTCAATCTCGACGTCCGTTGTTTCCAAAGAAACAGAACCACGTGGACTTTTACCGGAGTTTCCTTCATCAATATTGACATCTGCATTTTTAGGACCAGAATTCTTTCTCGTCGTATCTGTCTCAGTCATTGTCAGCAGCAAACTGAAATTAGAATATATAAGTAAATGATTGTACAGTACGTATGGAGACGTTCATCAAGTGTAACTACTTGGAGCCGATAATGTATCATCAATTCTATCAGAATGAAATCGGGCTCACTACTTTTTCTGAAAACTAATGTTTTAGGTATATTCTTTAGAATTCCAGATTTGCTGCAGATGACAAGAACATCATTATAAATAGGTTTACTATATAACTCTACAGCTCTAAGTTGCATTGTAGCATTCCTAAAACTCGTTATTTTGCCTCTGCACGAGTAGTTTGGTGTGACCGATAATTCGATTAGAGTATTCTGTTGGTTTCTCATTACTTACCAAGTTTTTAATCGACTGAATTAAACCAAGCTCAATACTCTTAGTGTGAAATGATTGTCTCAAAATGAAATTCGAACGAACGTTGTGCAAATGTGTGTGGAGGAGGGATGTTTGAGCTGAACATTGTTGACTTTTTATGTACAAATATCCGTAATTTATTCTCTAAACAAATTGGTTCAAGTAGTCGTATGGACCTATAAATTTATGTGGTGGGCACGAGAAAGGACGGGACGCAACATGATGAATAGCATTTAATACTGAGATAAAAGTTGTCAATGAAGTTTCACTGTGAGCGCGCTAAATTCACCATGTGCCAGGTCAAAATATTTACATTGAGCTATTTTTAGTCTTAATTCAAGGCTCCGTACCCGAGTATGCCAGAACGTTCTTGGAAACCATTATGAAACACAATAACCACATACTGGCAGTCAAAAAGCGCATCGTGATCATGTCACTTGTAAGCTACTCGATACATCATCAAAATTTTAGAAGGACATCAATGATTTCAGTAACACATGGTTTGCACGATGAATAACATGCGTTACTGTAATAGACACGCAGATAAGCATGTTCGTTAGCTCGTACATTGCCAAACCGTGTGAATGGTTGCAGCATCATTACAGATTTCGCAGGCGAACTTCAACGACGATACCCCGATTGTGTGGCTCAGCAATTCAATTGTCCAATCATGGTTAATTCATTCTTTTCATGAGGGCCAGGTGATTCCAAATTGGATACAAATATCATTACAAATCTCTGTTTTTAACATTAAAAATACCAGAGAAAACCGACAAAACAAAAACAAAAAACAGCGGAATCTCCCATTTAATCAATTACAAACAGCGGACAATCGGACTTTGGGTTATACCTTCGATGAACCGTCCTTCATTTAATGAAGTTACTTTTGTGTCATTGGTTAAAAATCATCTTTTACGTTGTATGATTAAAAAGTTCATTCATTGTATCGAAATTGTTCACAAACCATTGATTTAGTATCAAATTTACATACCTGGAGTGCCACCGGATTTGCTACGTTGTCTTCTTGGTTGGGTCAGTGGTCTTGTTTAGACACGTGGCGAGCGTTATCACCAGTAATAGCTGAGGGCGTCTTTTCCTGTATACGGGTCAGAGGTTATTTGATCCTTTACGTGCAATGTACTACCACGACCTCATCTACTTTTATATTGTTTGTATTTGACGTGATATTCGTTTCTTATGCAAGGGGAGTGTAGAAACGTATGTCATCCACGCGTGCGTGACTAGGGATAGTCAGTATACAAGACCTATTTTGAATTAAGGTTGTTTTTTTTAAATGTGGGTTTCCTAAGATTTAGCAAATTGTATGCAGATTCTTACCAGATGAAACCGTATTATTGTTAGTGAAACTCCGATCCCTGAAGTGTGGTTCAAAAAATATACCACAGCTATATAGAAAGAAAACACAAAAATCATCACGCCTTTTATGTCCTGTGGATGGCTACTTTACCGTTCAGGCTACTTTCTCGCGTTGCAAGATGAATTTGTGAGAATTATTGCTGGCTGTCACAATATTTCAGACAACACAACATTTCATACCTTCTATTGACATTTCAAGCATAACAGATCGTTTTTATGAGTTGCCAGACAACCTTTTCCCCTTAAAAAATTATAGTTTAATCTTTTCAGACAGCTTTAATATTGTAACTTTTAACAAAAGTTTCCAACCTACCATACACATTTTTTTGTTTTCAATTTACAGATATTTTTCAAGAACCAACGTCACGCCTTTAAAAGCAATTGTCCCATCCTTGCAGATAATTAAAGTTCAGGCAACATTCTTGTATTCAATTTTTTTTTTAACTTTACAGTGGGTTTTGTTTTCGTTCCCCCCTTCTGAAGTGGCTTTCTAAACTTGCAACTACTTTTGTGACTTTTCGTTTACTTTGTCTATCTTCTAATGCAGTTTTCCCATCTTGCAGACACATTTCAGTCTACTTCCCAACCTTCCAAGTGATTTGTGAACGTAACATTAGGTGTTCATGATGTGCGACATTAGTCACTTTATCTATTTAATCTGTGGGACACGCGCTGACGGAGAGATACGGTACGTTCATGACCAGCTGATCACTTGGAATCACACCCCATGTGGTTTGCTTCAAATTTAATCCTGTTGTACCTTCTATCTGAACATCACGTTTGTTCAATGATAGAGGTGTTTCTATTATTCAATCTCCAATTAACCAACCACTTCTCCAAACAACCAACCAAATATTGGCTATTGCATTATGTTTTTGAAAACATACACAAAAGATGAAAAAAAAAGAAATATATAGACTTAATATAATAAAACAACAATGTACAATGCCTTATCTACTCCCAAAAGCCGAATAATAATTATACTTTGCGAAATTACTGGTGACATCTATATGTAAAACAAGCAAATAACTTAAGAAAATTTCATTCTGTAATGTTACATATGCAAATAGTTTTGAATATCCATATGTAATTAGAATATCCATACCAAACATTATATTTGTAAACATGAAAATTTATATAACACTATACATGTATCTGTCTGACTCCACATTTAGTATTGGATAATTGCTGACAAAGAGTGAAATATTGACAATGTGATTACATGTGTTATTACAAAGAGAGTCGCAACGTTGTAGGAGAGAGATGTCGCGCTTTGTCGGTCATCAATTAACATGGGCCAAAAGTCATAGCGTTGTGTGGATCAATTACCGCTACACATTGCTGTAGCAAAAACAACTAGACACCACTAATATCACAATTGCTCATACGAAAGTTATTCGAAAATATTATGTATGTGATATCAGTAATATGTGTTTGCTTCTTTTTTTCTACCAAGAGCTTTTCCATACATATATTCTCTGATTTTAAATGTAATCATAGTCGTTATTACGAGCATATGTATATGGTGCCCTCAATAAGACACCAAAGTGTGTCTTGTTGGTCAGCCATATGAGAGGTGGTTTAACTGTCTTGCAATGAAGTGTGCCCTCGACGTGGTGGTTTCAATTCAAGTGTTTTCTTGTTTTTTTTTTAAATATTCTCGACATTAGTACTCTGCTTATTCATCAATGTGGCGGCTGGTATCTACAAATATTCCAAATTTTACCATTCGTCTGACAGATTCTTATGTAATAAAATTATAGCTACTTCATGATTTACCCCCACTTTGTTGCCCGTAAGTATCTTAGTTCTCACCCGACAACTTTTATTTTTACCCATTGTGGGTGCCAGATGGTGTAAATTTCCTCGTGTGTGACTTTTGTTCGCAAAGTTATTGTGAATACCAAAAGATTGATATAAGGTACGCAGACTAATTTTCAATGGCTCATTCATACAAATCAAATCAATGAACAAGTGGATTTGGGGAAGGGAATAATTCAATGAAACCTCGTCTCATTTGTAAGAAGTACTTTTCATCCAATCAAAACACCAAATATTATTCGTCTGTTCATTATATCTGCACTAACTACAAATCTCTGTATCTATATATCTGGAGTGACATGGGACAAGGGTTATCTTTAGCGACAACAAAGGACATCTCACTTTGTATAGAGGTCACTGTACCGTTTATGATAATACTGTAACTTTTAATCTACTTTTATTTGTTGTTGTTTTTTTTTTGGTAACTCTGTACATTATTGGGTTCACATTAAATTAGAATCTCACTAAATATGTAGGAAAAGCGTTACAGATACAGATAAATAATTTGTACTCGAATATAAACTGGATAACATAGAAATGTAATATACTCGGAAACTAATCGGAGTGCTCAGGATTGGTAAATTTACCGAATGCAAATATCACAAAAACACAAGAATTTCGATATTTTAAGCTTCACTATTGGATAATGGAAACTTGTTTAGTATTGAACTTGTAAGCATGCGTCGTGTCAGTGAAATTGATATTTAAAAGAGAATCTTCAGCCAATGCCATGGAATATCCTGCCCGGCCGTTTAAAAGAAGTTGACAATAAACAGATACACTTTCAAAACGGAGCTGGTCGATGGAATATCAACGTCAAAGCAATTGTTTTTCGAAAAGTTTATGAAACAGTTCTCAAAATGACAAAATATATACATCAAACCCAGAATAGAAATGAACAATTTTGATAGGAATCAACATCTACGTATCACAAATAATACAGTAGTAAACATCATTTTTAATAAAAGGGGTCTATTTTAGTTATTATCAGTGCATTGGCAAAATATAAGGCACAGAAAATGTCAAACTCACTGAAATGAATCAGTCAAATAATTGACTATTTTTTAAGAATCAGGGGTTTTAATACTTAAGAATCTGTCAAGTTGCGCCAAGTTGAGTGTTGATGTCAGACTGAGTGATTAATTGAATGAAGCAAGAAAGGTTCGGTCATCCTAAATATGGGTGAAAAATATGATTCTAATGAAGGAAAATCGCGTAGCATAGTTATCAATTACAATTGTTTTTTTTTCAAGTTTTCAGGCTATATCTTGTTTTCTAGTATGGTTCCGCTGATCTCATTACTCGGATCTGTTTTCGTGTATCCAAGAAGTGACACTGTGCTTCTCTCCTTTTGTTTATCTAAGGTTGTTGTCGAGTTTCCAATAGTCGATATTGGTTCCGTGTTGGCTGAATCGATCTTTTCTTCATTAGATGGCTCTGGTGGAGGCTTGTAGGTCAAGAGAGCACCCAGGGAGCAAAGCATGGCAAGTCCAGTGAAAGCTGCTCCGAAAACGACAAATCTCATGGCAAAACCGTGGTTATCATATATCCAGCATGTGCCAGTATCTCCACAGTCCTCTTGCCACATTACGCATGCACTGTCTACCACTATACCCATCACAATTGGCCCTGGAATAGCTCCTGTGAAATTAGATTAAGTTAAACACTGTTAAACAAATGAATCACTCAACTACCTCAATATATGACATACATTACATTCAATTGTGATAATTAATTGCAGGACAAACGACAAATTACATATTTTCTTCTTGATTAAACTGATGTCAATGTACTCACCAAAAAGCCGGAAACTGATCGAGCAAAGTCCAAGGGCATGTGACCTTTGCTTATCTGGTACACACCTAAACAAATTTAAAACGTGTCCTTCGTTAAAATATATATGTATCTTCCTCACACTTGTAATTATAATTTACCATTTTTCAGACGTTTATCGAAACATTATTGATCAACATGCTAAGATAATTCGGAGCTACATTACAGACTGACCTCATTGGTAAAATATTACTTGGAGCAATCAACAAGAACATTGTCAGCAAAATGAAGAAAAACCCTACAATAAACACCGGAAGTTGCCAGCAATCATCGTATGTGCACTTCCCAGATACTGCTTCCGGTGAGTCACCACTTTCGTTTTCCGAAAAGATGCAACTGCAGTTGTAATAAGTCTAAGAAACACATGTATAAAACTAACTATTAGCCCATATAAATAACTTGCATGGGTCATTCTATTCTGATATAAACCCAAGTGGTCAAGTGTATCGCCCGCCAACGTGGATTTTATACACCTGGGTATACTCAATTATTCATACTGTTGTAGGTCTAGGTCTAGTAACTTTCTGTCTCGGATAACTTCTCGAATACGCTCTTCCGCTCACGTGATTTGGTGGCCATATTGCTCTTTTATTTACAAACACCTCGGAATAGTCTATTTCCGACACTTCTGGGAGTCAAGACAGACTAAAAGCAATACTGGATATGGGCTACTAAGTTAAGTAATGATTAATATAGCAGCTACGTGACATTTGCCCTCATATTTTAATTAACGGAAGGTGGTATAAAAACAGATTTACATTAATTTTGCTGAGAACCATGAAGCACATTGATTTATGTATAGCATGTAGGATCTATGTAACAAGTGAATTGAGATCTTAACAAGATATAATATGGTTACTGTGTCGATGTTGATAATGCCTACCTCTCCATCATCCGGGGTATCCAGGCAACCAGCATAGCATGCATCAAAATATAACAGATTATTGGTTCCACAGACTGGATCGTAAGTCTCTGTACCAGCACAACCACACACAGAGTTACATGGATGATTAAGATTTATTACGTCAAGGTCACTCGTACTGAAAACAATAATTGTTTTACTGATTATCTTCGAGTTGTCATAAAGAGGATCTGTTCAAGTGTTTGTTTTTCATTGAAATGGGAATTCAATTCAATTCATTCCCATCCGAGTCATGGTATCGCGAAGCAATGAATAGTGCGGCGACCTTATAATGGCTTACAATGCCATGACATGGGAATGTGACATGCGCGTCAGGGAAGCTTGTATATATCAGTTAAGCACAGGTTCACAACGATATGCTAACACGGTGCTAACACGTTCATGCATAATTTAGTTTCTTGATCAGATGGTACTTTACGCATAATTTAAAGAAGTGAATTTACAATCACTAAAAATTATGATTCCCTGACATCTTGAAAAGAAATTTTATTTGCAAAATATCAAGTTTGTATAAATACTAGCACTAGTGTAAGATACTATGTTGAGGTGTTTTATGGCGGCCAAGATCTCGTTGTAAGTAACGTTCTATTCTCTCCCGTTATTGATTTCACTGTTACCATGGATCAGTAGAAGATATGGCGCAATTACGGCAGAAAATGGCACACTATTTGAAGGGCTTGTGCAGGTGGTTCTGTCGCTCGCAACGTGATCTCGATATTTAAGTTTTGTTATATGTCACCGCGTTTTGCCTTGACGGGATAACAACGATAGTTTTGAGTAGTCGAAACCAACACAATTCGCGCTCGTCATCACGTGGCGTATTTAACCAGTAAGAAGAACTCACCTGAAGACTGCTACACTTCCGGTTTATGATTTTGTCCTGGAAAACATTAGACATAAGAAAACTTACTCTGAACTGTTGTAAGATGTGATGACGCCCGCTACTTGTTGTTCCGGACACTGTAGATAAAATACTGGATACAGACACGTCGTTATTAACGACGCACCTAGATAGAAACGCGTCATGCCTACGACTTTCCAGTTAAACTTGTTTATGATCCATCCACCAAGTAAAGTTCCTCCAGCAGCGCCAGGTATGGACGTCACAGCTGAAAAATGAAACAAGTTATTACCGCCATACACGAAACTTTTTTTGTGTTGGGAAATACGTTTACACTCTCACTACTGGTGTTACAATAGGGGGACAGTAGTCAAAATGAACTCACCTAATATCAGACCAGCCTGTGACGATGTAAGGCCGAATTGGTTTTCAATAAACTTGAGGATAAAAGGAAGAAACCCGACTATCACAAATGTTAAAGCTGTTTTACTGATGGTCATAAAACAATAATAGGGGTTCTTTAAAAGCATTTTAGTTGATGGCCACAGGTCGTTCCATCCTTTTCCAAAGTCTGTATTTGCTTGTACTAATTCGGCGTCGTCACTGTGGTGTGCCTGCGACTGACGCTCATTCTGAATGTCTTTCGTTCCTGGGTGAAACAGGAAAAAGGAAAAAAAAGGAAAAAAGAAAATGTGATATACCGGTGTATAAATACGTTAAATGTATTGGTTGTTCGCATGACGTGGTTGCATTTATAGTCCTACGTGCTGATATTAATGAGTGGATGAACTTTTATAGTATACCTGGTAATTCTGGAGGAAACGCCCCAATCGGTATGGCTATGAGCCAGGCTAGAATCCATGATAATACGAAGCCGATCCACCAGGCACCAACCCAACCAGGATCTGTATTATCAATCGTCACACTATAATAAATGCACATTATATTAGCATAATTCGTATTTTTTTATGAAGAGTGTTGCGGTATGCGTGATACAACGGAGGAATTAATAGCGTGGTGTTTTTATTATGTGTGCGCTGACTGTAGGAATGCTTGCCAAGCACACACTCAAGGAATGTATTGTTTGTTGTTTTGGAATCACAAGGCGCTGCCTCTGAAATGAGACATGCCGAAATGAGACATGCCTGTAAATATTAAACTCACGGGCATTTCTTATAGCTTAGACGTGCCCACGCCTCGCAGCGTACACGTAGCAACTATTAGTTGTGGCATGCTTTACGAAAGTTTCTATGGTCTGTGAAGTGTAATGAGTTTGTCCTCAGTGAAGACAAAATGTTGAAATGTCAGAAATAAATAAATAAATATTCATTGTTCAGCTGCATGTGCCAATGGAAAGAAACACGTTACTCACTCGTCTTGGTGTAGTGGGTCCACATAAATAGTGAGGAAGTATGCACCGACCAGATATCCAATGGTAGGTCCAAATATTGAGAGTGCACTCAGTATACCTGTAAGAGTAATCACAATAATATTATGCTATTAAGGAATAAACAACATGCGTGGAGTAGTTGAAAAAACAAACAATTGTTTTGTCCATAGATGTATATTATGACAATCGCCGACCACTTTTATGACCATGTTTTTAAGTGTGGTTTCGACACATACACCCAAGTACAGCATATAATTTTAGCCAGAAATGGCAGGTTTGTGACAACAGCAAAACAAATCTGTAACGTGTTTGTGTCATATCCAAAAAAATACGTTGAAACTAAATTTCTATGGCATTTCAATATCTACAGCTAAGTCCATAATAAGAACAGGTCTAATAGAGTACATTCACAGTAAAATTGTGTAACACCCAATATACAAGTAAGACTAAAAAACACGGTCGCCATTTTAAGAGAATTGTATCACGCCACGAAAAAAAATAAACCCACCAAAATTCTTAACAATAATAAATTGGAGAATCATGTTTCTGTCATGTCTATTTCAGTTTGTGGATCAGCAAAATGAAAAATTATTAATTAAGACCAGACATGGCTTAATCATGTAAATCATGTACTTAGATTGTTACTGCATATACCGTACTGTGTTGAATACTAAGCCAGAATTATAAAAAAGTCAGAATTAAACACGATTTGAACTGTCTAATAGGTGTAAGGGGTGACATGTTATTAGCATATTCATAGGCTGTCACCGGAATAATAAATTTTAGACATGTTTACTGGAATAAAGCCGTTTATTGACACTTAATATTGTGAGGGCGTGATTCAAAGATTTAGTGACATTACCTAAGTACCAGGACGCTTTTCTGTGTGAAGCATTCTCATCAGAAAATGCATAGCCAACCGTGTAAATGGGTGATGCACCAATTCCATGGAGTATCTGGGCGAATAGGAAGACGAAAAAATAATATGACAGGTCTCCCTCGCCCCCTTCTTCTATGCAATCATGTATTATTTTAGAAGTATTTCTACCAGGCACGCATAGAGTGTCTTCGTCTCCGTACGCAGCGTCGTAATCGTACAGGCCACTGGTGAAGTGTGGGACAGCCCACATTAAAGATCCACACCCCATGATCACAGCTCCAAAGCCAAGTATGTTCGGTTTATTTCTCGTGGCTCCGAAGTACGACACGAAGCCAATGAGAACCATAATGGTAACATCATATGTGGCCGCTATGATGCCTATCGCCGTGCTGCTAAAACCGAACCGAATCTCAATGCTCGATAAACTCATGTACAAAATCCCGCTGATGGCAAACCCCTGTATGAACATTAAAGTTCCCAGTACCGCTGTTAACCAATTGGAAGTCGCACAGGGTTGCAGACATTTTGGTCGCAGGCTGAGCCATCCACAAAGTAGAGATTCTGTCTCAATCTGGAAGCTACTTATTTCCGAAGAAACAGAACCACGTGTGCTTTTGTCAATACTCCCCTTGTCCACATTGTCGTCTCTGTTCTCACCGGAATCTTTTCTCGTCATCTCGGTCTCAGACATTGTTATAGAGAGGAACTGATGAAAGGGAATACATAGTAATAAAATAGCATGACCACTGTATACGCTACAAGAGTTTTGGATTGTGAATGGAGAAATAAAACATTAGCTCGAGTGCATAGTATGTCTACGGAATAAGAACATCAATTACTGCAGAATTAAATGTGTTGTGAGGTTATGGAAGAATATCTACTTTTACTACAATATAATATATATTTGTAGGCAAAAAAATAAATTTATTCATATTTTTAGTTTAGTTTTTAAAAAGTTGTTTGACAGTATTACATATTTCCAAAGTATGAATGCAACTTCAAGGAAGACATGTACAGGTGCAACAAACAATGTAGCGCCTTCCGCACTACTCCCGACACGCGTTCCGAGCAGCACAATACTCGGTCATGTCGCCCTTTTTGTGAAAACGGCATGTGTGAAAACCGTAGCTGCAGTCCTCACGTACAAGAATCGAGCAAGCTATTACGTCCTCCGTTGTATGAAGAACCCGCTAAATAAAGTTTGCCTTCAATGTTTAAAGTTATATACGTATGTTTTATGAGAAAATGACATTTGCACATTTAAACAAACCTAACGAATGGAGGACGCACTATTCGACTCGCTGAAGCTATATATACATTAGGTATGTATTATACAAACACAAAGCATGTCAAGGTTTACGTGACACCGGAGATGTAATATGCCGATAACCACGGTGGGGTGAGCCGTAACTGTATGTAATAAAGGTTAGGAAAGGCGACCAAACCACAAATATGCCCACACTCTTACAAAATATAATTCACAAAACACACTTAATGTGAACATTAATCGTAGTTATGAGACGTATAATTGTGGCTTTTCAATTTTCGATTAAGTCTACGCAGTAATGGGACACTGACGCCAGCTATTGGTGGCATATTACCAGTCGATTCCTGTTGTTTTAATTTGTATTACATAAGTATACCTCAGACCATGTATATTTTCCGTAGCTAATCCTGCAAATTATCATGTGGAAGTTATCTGCTATCTCATATGATCACAAATAAGTCAAACTGTTCATATTTTGTTACGCATTTATCGTGTCATATGTACCCGTGAGTTGTTAAGTAATACTTGATTGTACATACCTGGAGTCTCACAGCGATACTAACGTAGCCGACTCATCGATGGCTGTGTCTAGACACGTTGTATGTGCGTGATATAAGGTTCAGAGGTAACCGTTATTAATCATTTTTAGTACTGCCGTTGCTATGCTCTGTTTTGCTTTGCTTTGATTTGCTTTGCTTTGCTTTGCTTTGCTTTGTTTTGCTTTGCTTTGCTTTGCTTTGCTTTGCTTTGCTTTGCTTTGCTCTGTTTTGCTTTGCTCTGCCCTGTTCTGCTCAGCTCTGTTTTGCTTTGCTTTGCTTTGCTTTGTTTTGCTTTGCTTTGCTTTGCTTTGCTGTGCTCTGTTTTGCTTTGCTCTGCCCTGTTCTGCTCAGCTCTGTTTTGCTTTGCTTTGCTTTGCTTTGCTTTGCTCTGCCCTGTTCTGCTCAGCTCTGTTTTGCTTTGCTTTGCTTTGCTTTTCTTTGCTTTGCATTGCTGTGCATTGCTTTGCTTTGCTTTGCTTTGCTTTGCTTTGCTTTGCTTTGCTTTGCTTTGCTTTGCTTTGCTTTGCTTTGCTTTGCTTTGCTTTGCTCTGCTTTGCTTTGTTTTGCTCTGATCTGCTCTGCTACCAAAGTAACACATCTATTGAAATCAATGGATATCTATAAAAAGCCGTCCTGGATCGAAAAGTTGTCAACCATAATATATTTTTGACGCGATGGTGTTTTTGTTTATTATTATTTCTTAACTTTGACATGGCTTCAGAATTGTCAACCTTGACAATGACAGCCTTGATCAAAAAGTTGAAAAAAACATTTCAAAGTGAAACACAGTAAAACGTACAGATGTGGTTTTATGTTGTAATATTGACCGGCGTTCCCAGATGTACTTACCACACAGCTAAACGCTAGGTAGAATGTCACGACCGGTAAGTTTCTACAAAATCGGGAATTTGAAGTATAATTCAAGTACAGTATCAAACATATTCCACCAAAGGAATGAGTATGATCTTATAATACATGTACGACCATAGTACACAAATAACAATTAAAATGTATGTGAATTGTTAGTAAATAATGATTGCTATAATATCAGAGAAGTTCGCGCAAACTCTTATTCATATTTAGAAACTTGTATTAAATTATTTAAATGTCCTAAAAGCATTTCAAATTGCAGAATGCAAAATTGAGTGTATTGATCTTATAGACAGGTGTTTACAAGTCATTGATGCCCTAACATCTAAAACTTGGCATCAAATATACATATATACTCGTTTAAAGCGGGAGGGTCGTCACCTGCGCACGCACGGAAATTGACTCCCAATCGACGATAACAACACACGCTAAAACGCAAAGGCTCGTGGGTAGACGCTTGGTGGGATGTCACGACTGGTAAACCTCAATCTCAAGCTCTTTTAAATTCAGTGGAAAACAAATTCTTCTGAATTAATGACTATGATCACATGTGCGCCTATAGTACACAAATAACAATGAAAAATATATGTGAATTGTTAATACATACAGATTACTATAATATCAGAAAACTGTCGCGATTATTCAGAATATTTTATTAGTTATTCAAATGTTTTAAAAGCATTTCAAAATCGCGGATCAACATGAGTTTGTTGATCTTAGAGACAGGTGTTTACAAGTCATTGTTGCCCTAACATCTAAAATGTTCATCAATGAATCGACAGTAAATGCTTTTGTGATCTGTGGTAGTCACTGTATTTGCAAGAGATTCGTTATCTATAAATGAAGATATTATTGTAGAAATAGTCGATAATTAGATCCTTGAAAATGTGTGTGATGATGTTTTATTTCAAAAGGAGGATGTTGTGCCACATATATGATTTATTGAACGGATTCTTGAAATATGTATTGAGAAAATAGTTTGCCAACAAATCTCTGATGTCAGTTTTACAAGTATAATCCAAGTCTGCTTAATACCACCCAAATGAAAGCTGCTTCTAAAGATGAGCAATTACAGTTCGAAGATTTAGAAGTAATCGATTGGAGATGAACAACTGAAGAGGCAGTTAGTGTGAAGGACATCAATTACCTTCATTTTACACGCAGAAGCTTTCATGCCAATTCTACAGAGATGTAGTCTATATGAACCAACAATTGAGATATGTAGCCAACGACACAGGAAGTACTTTTATTGACAATAATAATTTCCTGATGAAAGGTGAATCAGCTGATAGATCTATGTATTATGACAAGGTACATCTAAACTTTAAGGGGACAGCACATCTCCTGAAGAGTTTTGCAGTCTATACACCAGTCTTCAATGCACTACCGGATGACAGTTCGAGTGGAAGAAGATGGCCACAACAAGCATATCAACCCAATGCTATATATCCAAGATCAGATAACAAGAAAATTAGTGTATGTCGACATGGAATGAAAATTACATGTAGGAGCTGTGGTCAACAAGGTCATAAGGCCAAGTTCTGCTGGGTAAGATATGATTAAAACAAATGGCCAAGAAGAGTGTGCTGGTGAAATGGAGACTATTATAGAATATTTAAACCAGGACCAACTGGGTATTAATGAGACTTTTAAGAATGATATAATTTTACCAAATGCCACAAACTCAAATGTTCTCTTTGATAAAGTAGTGAAAACTCAAAGCCATACATGCATGTTCAGTAGTGTTTCATCTAACAATCCTAACTGCCATAAAGCTACCCATAAAACAAGACGAAAAGCCAACAAATCAAAATCACTTGCTTCAAAATTACGGCTAGGATATGTAAATTTCAGAGGGTTGACGTCCAAAGAGTATGAGCTTAGCCCCTTGCTTAGGGAACTAAATTCGGACATTTTTGGAGGCACTGAAACCTTCCTAAAAAACAATAAAACAGCAGTTATAAAAGGTTACAAATAGTTTGGTAAAAACCGTAAACTAAAATTTAAAAAAGAGCGGTGGCGAAATCGTTTTTTTAGTTAAGTAATTTCCAGGTAATAGACGATAATTTATTCCAATCACAGGATGATGATATAGAAAGATTATTGATCAGATTAAAAGTAGGTGTAGGGCAAACATTGAGTTTATGTGTGGCATATGTTCCCCCAGGAAATACAAACAAGGATGGTCTTGATGGACTGTACCATGAATCATACAGTAATATTAGTAATTTAGAAGGATCAAATGATCAGTATCTATTGCTAGGGGATTTTAACGGTAGAATTGGGAATATTTCAGGTGATAAAACGGTAAATAATAATGGTAAAAAAATAATTTCATTAATAAATAATTTTGACCTTTCATTGCTTAATAATAGTGATATTAGCATTGGTAAATGGACATGGTTTCGCCATACACAACAATCGGTCATAGATTATATGTTACCAAATAACAGCTTTAAGTATAATGTAACAGAGCTGTTTGTAGATGAGGATAGAATATTTGATATCGGTAGTGACCACAATATTATGTATGCCACTCTAAACATTCCAACTTTAAAACGAGACCACAAAATAAATAAAACACAAAAATGGGATATAACTGGCAACTAATACAACAAATAAACAATCAGCATGTGATGAAGTTTGGAACCAGTGGTTAAATAATACAATTGTCACATGTCGTGATGTTATAGGGAACAAAAATTACATTAAGTACCGGTAGTGCTAAACCATGGTTTGATCAAATTAAAAGTGCAATAAATGAAAGGAAAAATCAAATAAAAAACACAGAGAGTGGGTTAAAGAAAACAGCAGTTACCATGACAATGAAGGTAAAATATTATGGAATAAATATCTAGAAGATAAAAATAATGTCCAAAATCTTGTAAAACAGAAAAAAATTGAAAACAAAGTTAAACAGTGTATTGAGGTTGGTAAATGTGGAGGTAAATCAACTCAAAAGTACTGGTTAATTCTAAAGGGTCCTAAACAAAGAATATATTCTTCAGTTGTTCT